GAACCGACGACTCTTAGACTATCCAAATTTGCAGTGGCCAAACCACCAAAATTTTCGGCGGTCCTGGTGCCACTGAAAAATCCGCCGGTATTTAATGATTTTTCTGTAGTGAATTCAGCCCAAAAATTGTCGTATCGAATTTCAACTAAGAAATTTGCTTAAAACATGTAGTTCATATAAAAAAAACTTTCTCACATTAATTATCCTACAATAACCCACAAAGAATATATCAATCACATAAATGAACACAATTAGTAAAATATTTAAACATTTCTAAAAGAACATTATTCATATGATGATCAAACATTGTACTATACAAATAATTGTCAAAATACATCAATTCTTAAACATTACAAAAAACTAACAAAATAATAACAATCATCCAAGTTCACTCCTTTTCCTTTCCCTCACTCTCCTCGATCCCTACAGGCTATTTTTCATTGAACTGCTTTCTGATTTAGTGCAGCTCCTATAGTATCTAGTTGTGCTGCATTTACAACACTTGTTCTAGTTCTAGTTCTACTGTCAGGGCAGCCATCTGTTGACTAATTAACCCCTCCTGACTGCTAGCTAAGAAGCTTGATGAGCCATAGGACTATCCCTCGAATGCATAGGCATGCGAGCCTAATTTAAAAATTACGCCCTTCTGCATTCTACCTACTACATGTGACCATATACTATAGTTAGAATAATCCATTGATCCCAAAGAGGATCCCTCACAAGCTGCATCATGCCTCTCTCAAAGCTATGTATAGTCCTCCTAAAAATATAAGATGGATATAAATGTTAAATATTTATCACTAAAAATATTTCTATTAATATTGCAAGCTTCAAAACTCATAAAGACCTTCCTCGTTCATTGGTCCACCCACTATTGGTCCTCCTAGCATGGGTGGAAGCGAGTGTTCAACTCAACAGTTGTGGGTTCACTACCCAACACTTCTTTCTACAATATATTTTGGTAAGTATGCATGACTAAAAAAATATATTTAAATTTGAGATCATTTAAAATATATGTTAAAATTCTGACCAAAAATCATCTATGCTCAATTTGTGGAATTGAAATGTCATTATGGAGGGTGCTACCCATGCTCTCAATGTCTAAAACTCTATTTGGCATATTCTTTTTTTTTTTTTGTAACAAAAAAATTTTATTAAACAAAAAGATTTTATTAAATAAAAAGAGGAGGGATCCAAAGTCATAGCACAACACCAAGGGATACAAACAATAAAGACCCAAAAAAAACCAAATATAGCAAAATATACAATGAAGGGGGACTCGGGAATGGAGGCCCCCAGCACTAGCCTAGCAGCCAAGCACGGACCATCCATGGGAGATAGAAAATGATTGCGATCCATCCAATACCGAGGCACCCAGATTGCCAGCCAGCTTAGCCACAAAGGGGAAGCAGGGGCCTCCTCATCATCGTCCACTACACCTTCAAAAATCACGTTGAGAGCGCAAAGAGCTCAATCATAAACCAACCGTGGAAGACAGCTATATGAATCCATCCAATAGGCCACAAAAAGCTGCATCCACGATGCTAACCTGCCAAGCAAACAAGGATAAAATCAAATCCACTTACTTTCTTCCTCTCCTTTTAGACCTGCTACCACTCACATTATAAAAACCACGACCAACAGATCGTCCAACGAACTCCTCCTTATTTACATGAAGATCCTCTTCATCCCCACTAGACGGAGAAGAGAAACAATCCTCTAAAATTAACCAATCCGTTTGGAGCAAAACAAAATTTTTTTCTAGACATAGCCACATGATTATACATTTCAGCGTTAGACAACATAGAGATAGGAATATTAACAATATTAGCATAGCTCGCCAAGCCTATGGCAGATGGTATAACCGATTGATCCCCACTCAAATTAACTGAAGAACATGCAGCCTCCTGAGACACGGGAGATAATTCTCGAATAGGGGAGCCAAACTATATTCTAATCTTTGCATTATGCTACGATAACCTGTAGAATTCTTTTTACATATTAACATTACAAAATATAAAAATTTGGATTAGAGTAATTAAAATGTAAGTTGATTACCATTAGTGTTTAAAAAATTATTCTCTTGATGAATTCATCTGTTAATGTCTTTCTCCTAGGCAATAGATGATTGTACATAAACTTTGTTTGATTTAGCATATCCATATCAAATGTGATCTATAAAATCCTACCTCCAATAAATCTCATAGAAACAACTAGAGTAGAATCCACACAATAAAAATGTATGCAATAACATGAAAATAATACATAAATGTGAAATATAGGTAATTAAATAGATAAAAAATTGCTAGGGTTTCATGAAGCGTTAGACACAAAAAACAACTAAATCTTGCATTAATATGTTAGACTTAAATAGATTCAACTCTGACAAATTAAGGATATGATATTAATCTTGCAAATCTGAAAATAAATTTTTATTTCATGCAAAGTAATCCATTTTTCATCACAAACAAATTTATATCCATTAGTAAATAAGATGTCATTGGAATTTATTATTAGTAATGAATAAAATCTTATCATCTGAATAGTTTTACAAAAAATTTGTATAAAGCTATTTAAGAAAAGATTGGATGTAAATTCATAATTTAGTGGTATAAAGAGACAAACTCATTGAATAAAGTCAAACGAAAAATGGAAATGGTAGGAAAATTTTGTTTTAATTTCTTTGGTAAAATCAATCTCATAGTTGTTGTTTCTAATCACTATGTAAGCAAGAAGAGTTTTAGGAGGAGGTAAATAAATGTGCTTACAGCAAGTGAACGGAGGCTTGCATGCTATCGATAATGGATGAATGTGTGTGATCAACATCGGCGGAGTCAAAAGAGGAATGCGTCCGAGAACGAAGACAAATCCATTTCCAGAATGGCAAATGGTGATGATCAAGACCGAGGGGCGGGCTACAGTTGCGCTTCGTATGAAAATGGATCTTTGAATGATGTTTAGTGTGAAATGGTGGAGGAAACACTACAAGAAAATGACTCATCACCGACAACAAAAATCTGCCGGTAATGAGAGAAATTCGACGGAAATCTCCTTTTTCCGTCGAAAATCCGACAAATTCGCAAGTTACGATAATTCACTTGTTTGCAAAAAATATCAGTGGAATATTTTTGCCGGGAATTTTTTCGGCATACATTCCGGCATAATTTCAAAGAAGAAAATGCGGGGAATATGTCCCATTTGTTGGACGGATTCCGACATTACATCCCCCAGTATTTCCCATATACTGGCGAAAATTACGCCGGAATAAACTTCTTATCTCATAAATTATAGCAGAAAGGACGGCGGATCATACGCCGGAAAATAATCAGCGGATTTTACACCAGAACTACTATCATTATGACACCGTCGAATTTTCCACCAGTTCACGCGCCATTGTTACTGGTGTATTTTATTCTGCCGGAAGCTCCGACGGTATTAATTCAAAGTTTTTCCTATAGTGAAAGGAGAAAATGGTGAAAATAGGGTGTTTACTAACAGAATTTCTTGCATAAATTTCCGCAAAAAATTATGTCGTAAATCCACTTCTCAAACCTTCAAAATTATTGCCAGTGATTTTCCCGATTAATCTTGCGAGGCATGTTCCGCTAGAAATAGGTATTTTTCTAGTAGCGGTTTTTATAATAAACACAGTGATCAATTACAGCTTATATAGTATAACAATTAAGTGTATATAACTAGTTATGCTCATTTATCAAACATTTCATTAATTTCAATTTAATTCTCCATTAACATAAAAAATTCTTACTTAAACTTTTCTTAAGATTTTATGTTGGCTTCTATATTTTGCCTCAGCTCAATGACCTAATTCCATAAAATATTATTAGACTAAATTCTAAAGAGACAAACGTCGTCAAAATAACATCGAATGAATTCGATGTTATTAAAGACAACTTCAAATGTATCGAATATCATTTAAATAACATCAAAATTTTTAATATATCATAGCATAATTATAATTACATCATCTACTATTAATCTCTAAAATCACAAGTGAAATATAGAGAGAAGCTTTGCATGCAAGCTTCTAATTTCATGAGGTTCCTGTACATGTCTGAGCAAGTTGCCCAACTCCTTGGCCTTTCTTTACATGATGCCTGAATTCACATCAAAGCAACATATAAGTAGAGATTACTAGATGCGAAATGCGGACGGGGAGAATTGTCCGCACAAGTATTGGGTACCTATAGCGGTACCCGCACTCAGTACCGCTGGATACCGCTAGGTACCCAGTGCTTAAGCGTGCTTGTGCGGCCGGTGCGCACTCCGCACCTAATAATTTTTCACATGTGAGACACAACAATTAGCAGTCGAGGAATAAAGAAAAGATCACAGTATCAAGCAACAAACATAGAAAAGCTGAAAAAATTACAAATCGGTTAAGCTTCTTTTCTTCAAGAATACCTCTTTTACATAGTTTCAATGTAGCTTCATATGTAAAGTCCAACTTCTGCAGGCACTTCTACACAATAAGTAATTATAGAAAAGCAGAAAACAAACACACCATCAGACTATTGAAAAAAAAAATGCATATGATGAACTACTATGGTCACTACATACATAATCAAACTTGAAGATGGGTAATATGGAGAAACTTACAAGTAACTGCCTGTGTTGACTCAAATTTGGCTCAACCATTCGCGACAGAAAATGCGTCAGTAACGACCAAACAATAGAAACAAATAGAAATTGGTCGCTAAAGATGATTAATCAATCAATTCTTACAAAATGTATGTTGAACTTGCCTTGAATTTGGCTCGACCCCTATTTGTTCATATCCTTGATCATCATACTCTAAGCAGATATGTCAGGGGTTCAAGGGGGCGCCCTGGCGGGGTTCGACCTTGTTGCAGGGTCAAGGGGCAACGTCCTTGCAAGGGGTTTCCGGGGGCAGCGCCCCAAAACAAATTTTGATTGTAAGGATATTTTTGGTATTCAAATTAATAAATAAAATGTGTTTAATTATGTTAGAAATAATTGCCTAAAGATCATAGTATTTTAAAACAGCGGTTGAAATCAAACCTGGGCTTCCTCTTTCACTTGCTTTCAATGAAGCTTCATGAATAATTTTACTCTTGCTAAAAAAAAGTCATACTGTAAACAAAAGATGAGCCTACCGCCTACATAAACTTTACCTGTGGGCTCTTTGGGTTAATTTTTCATGGCAAAGCTTGCTTGATTACCAAGTTACTATATTAGTTTCAGAACCATTATCCACTTTCCTTCACAGTATAAATCCATCACTTGTAGCAGACATGCAAAACAATCAGAAATGGAGCCAACAAAACTGGAAGGAGGCAACTTTAACAGCAAGGTCCTCTTCAAGAAAGCCATGGCTGGAGACTGGTTTGCTGTAGTTGAAATGTACAAGAAGAATCCATTGGCGCGCCGAGCCAAAGTTACACGGGCAAAACACACAATATTGCACCTTGCAGTGTCGGAGGAAGATGACAATGTGGTGAAGCAGCTTCTCGACGCCATGACGGACGACGAGGCGCGTGACATTCTAAGCCTCCAGAACGAGTTCGGCGACACTCCACTTCATGCCGCAGCTGCACTGGGGTTGGCCGGAATCTGCTGGCTCCTTGCAGAGAAATGCAATGAGCTGGTTCTTCGTTCCCGCAATAATGCGAGGGAGACTCCCCTTTACATTGCAGCCCACCATGGAAAGAAGAAAGCTTTCTTTGTGCTTCAGGACTATGTGCCAGAGACCCTGTTGAGCAGACAGAATTACAATATATCCTTCTGCCGGAGAGGAGACGGCAACACTATCCTCCATGCGGCTGTCCATGGCGAGCACTTCGGTAATGTATTACAATCCACAGATCTGCTGCAACTACAAGAATTTCTGATGTTCTTTGGAACTTTTTGGATACAGATTTGGCTATTGAGATTATGAAATTATATCCAAAATTGGTGAACTTCAACAATGAGATGGGGCAGTCCCCACTTCATCTTCTAGCAAATAAGCCACTGGTTTTCAAAAGTGGCAGCCGACTACGACGGATTGATAAGCTCATCTATGCATGTAATGTTCCATCTAAGTTCTCAAACTATATCTCCTTCAATAACTCATAAAAAGAGTTCATGGTTCATGCAAGAAGGAGATAAGTTGAGAGTCTGAAACTCTCTCTTATTCGCTTACATAATACCATCAATGCCTCATAAACATGAAGAATCAATATGTTTTTCTAAATAAGTTTGAAAAATCCAGGTGAAATATGATGGCTTGGCTAATGGGAAACTTCATAATTTCACCTCATCAAAATTGTAAGATAAACTAACCAACATATAGGGGTGTCAATATTTGACAAGAAAGGAAAACTCGATTTGAATCCGATCCAAAAATTTTGGGTTAGACCCGACCCGATTTCAAAACGGGTCAAGTTCGGGTTCACGGATTCGACCAGTTTGAAAAAACAGGTCGGATTTGGATTTATCAGTCGGGTTTCCGGGTTCCCATTTGAAATTAGCTGATCGGGCTGCCCGAACCTGCTCACGGCTGCCTGCGCACCAGCCCAAGGCTGCATGCATTGCGCCTAAAGCTGCCCGCGTCTGCTAGCGCCCATCCGGGCGCACCCGAGGCCGCCCGCAGCTACCTGCACCCTCCCGCGTTGCGCCTAAGCTGCCCGCCCACGCCCGCGCTCGCCCGAGGCTGCCGGCATCCGTTCGCGCGCGCCGGAGTCTGCCCGCCAACACTCGCGCGCGCTCCCTCCCGCCTTTGCCATCCTCGGGTCAACCGTGTCGTGTTGGGTTTAGCGTAACACGATGGGTCGGGTCCAGGTCCGATTAGGTTAGGGTCGACCCTTTTGAACCCGGATCAGTTCCGGTTTTGACCCGAACCCGACCTGAAACTCAGTTTTAGCACCCCTAACAACATACAGGTACATGCTCACGCAGACATGAACATCATATTTAATTAATGTCTTGAAGGCATGATTAAATTCGAAGGTTTAAGCGTAATATGGAAGCAAAATAATCTTAAACAGCTCACAAAAATTTGCAGGCATAATAGTGGATCGACTTGAACCGAAATATAAACCCAGAATCTACACGAGTCACCTCAACGGATGGAAGAAAGAGAAGGAAATCAAAATGCCACAGAACTATAGAACCTGCATGGATTTGTTCCAAGCGCTACACCAAGTTTATCATTTAGTAGGTTAGCACCAGAACCATAATTTATTGACTAATTTAGGTTTCGTTTGGAACGATTTTTTTATTGCTTTTTAAAACAGTTTTTTAGTATAAAATTTTTAATTTTTTACTAAAAAAACTGCTTTAAGAAAATGAACCTTTAGTTTCATTTGTCTTCATATTGTTAGCCCACTAATTTTATTGCAGAGACTGAATTTTTATTTATTTTTCTAGTGTCCTGTTTTGGTGAAAGGTCCATAAAGAATTGCTATACTGCAAATGGAAGACAAAGCTCAAGGGATAACAACCAGAATGCTCAGCATGGGGCCTCAAGCAAAGACTTAGAGAGAGGTAGTGCCCAATTAAATTAACACTCATACCTCATAAGAGAGAATTGATTAGCTATTTTCTCTTCAACCTCAAGCAAAAATTCCTTAGATAATTTTCAAAAGAAATAAGTTTAAGGATATGATTTAGACTTCGTTTGGGACTTCTTTTTTACTGCTTTTTAAAGCGACTTTCTAGTATAAAAATTTTAATGTTGTACTAGAAAGCTGCTTTAAAAAATAGTAAAAAAATCATCCCAAACAAAGTCTTAGACTTCGTTTAGAATAACTTTTTTACTGTTTTTTAAAATAGCTTTGTAGTAAATTTTTTGCACTACAAAACTACTTTAAATAGTAGTAAGAAAGTCGTCTCATACGAAATCTTAGGAAATTATTAAATTCAGTGTTTAAGAAAACACAGTTCAAAGCAAAGTAGTCCCAAAAACTTAAACATCAAAGCTCAAGGATAAGCTTCCTAATGTGAAGCACACATTTCATGATACACTTTCAAGTATGTAAAGCTTAAACTTAAGTTTTTATTGAATTCAGACAACCTACTTCAACATTTACATAAGAGGAAAAAAATCACTTTACATCTATCCCTGATTCGCCTTCGTAAGTTCCAAGTCAAAAAAGCTTTATTTTTTCTAGAACATCTAGTCAATTAAACGCAAACTCATACACACATGTAAGCTTCGAACTCGAGACTTGTTGATTATTAGCCTAAGCTCCGAACCAACAGATCATGGTGGGCCGCAAAATGCTTTATGTCATTTTCATGTCTTTGTGCCTTTTGACTTATCTTGTCTTTCACCTCTCCTTATCAACCTTTTCTTTACCCATTTACCTTAAGCATCACCAACTTTCTTTTTTTCCTTTTGGCATATCTACCCAATTTTCTTCCTCATTCATCCAAATTTTATTAGTTTACTTTATTTGAATAGTGAACCACCCATGTAATTTGATGGTTTTAATTTAATTTGTTAGCATGTATTCTTTATGAGACTTGATTAGAAAATATTAGGAATGACCTTTCTTTATTAAATGTAAATGAGAATTTGACTTTTAAAAGAACACAATGGAGAAAAAGGATTTATGTAGCCGACCCCGACCCCACGTACTGGGATAAATGCTGATGTTGTTGTTGTTGTTGTTGTAGCATGTATTCTTTATTTGTAACTTAAAAGTTCATTTTAATATTTTTCTAATCATTATTAAAAAAAAAAAATAGATATTGCATAACTAAATTTGTGTTAATATGATCATATTTTGCATTAATGGGACTAATTGAAAATGATAAAAACTTGAATTTTGTTTAAGTATATATTTTTTTAATTTTAATAATTTTAAATTCATAAAATTGTAATATATTTTAGTATTTTAAGATATATAAAATTAAAATAATGAAGCATGAAGCTTACCTTTCATGAGGTGCATTGCTTTGCTTCATGTTTTAGCTTTTTAAACATTAATTAAATTATACTAAATATATTTCTCAAATTTATTAATAAATGATCAGAAACCTATGCTTTGCTTTTGTAATCCAAAATTTATTAATTAATGCCTTATATATTAATAACTAGTTTAGATTAATTTCTCTAATATTAAGGCCTTGTTTGTGGCAGCTTAAGCTTTTTTATTTTTTATTTGAAAAGCTCCTTTTTCAGTTATAGTTTGAAAAGTGCTTTTTCAAAAACAATTTCTTAAAGATAGATTTAGGCTTTGTTTGGGACGGCTTTTTTATTGTTTTCTAAAACAGAGTTTTAGTACAAAATTAAAAAAATTTGTACTAAAACTCCGTTTTAGAAAGCAATAAAAAAGCCGTCCCAAACGAAGCCTTAGGCTTGGTTTGGGATTGCTTTCCTATTATTTTATAAAGCTATTTTTTAGTATAAAAATTTCTTAATTGGGACAACTTTTGACCACTATTTTTTAGTTGATTTCAAGAAATTTTTATGATAGAAAATTGTTATAGCGAACGGTTGGAAAGCAATCCCCAACGAAGCTTTAAAGTTGCGGTAAAATCTATCTTTAAAATACATATTGTTTTATACTAATTATTTTTCTTGCCATAAAAATAGTCCAAAAGATATTAAAAACAAATCCTAAATCATTAAAGTTTATGATTTGCTATGTTAAAAGCATTGAAAATTTAACTTTGGGTTTTTTTTTTCTTGATGACTAACAGATGAGGAATATGGGAATCATGAACAGCCAAAAAAGCATAGATTTCCAGAGAATTATATCACCGCATTCAATTTTCTTAAGATCGTGATCAAAGTTTTGCTGGTTCTTCTCGGAATAGGTTAGTCTGAATTAATATTCTCTGAACTTGCACTGGTTTTATGAGTAAAATGTAAGAAGAGAGGAAATAAGGATTGATAAATTGTCAGAATCTACTGCAAAAATCTCATCTTAGCTTTAAATGCCAACTTATTCAGTTTAATTAGAACTAACTGTGCTTGAAAGAGATGAAAGTGGAAGAAATCAGATGAGATTTGTCAATTTTAGGCCAATTGTGGTCTGTAGCCATTGATTTCACACTATGTGATCCATTCTCCTTTCCTTCTCTGAAATTCTTATGATCCAAAGAGAGCCAATATACATATTAATCAACAGCAGATAGAGGTGGAAGTGAACATTGATCAGATAGTGCCTATTGAGTCAGGCTTGATTGCTAGTTCTCTATAAGCCAGGCTTTAGCTCTACTTGACTTTGTTATAAAAGAAAAACAAATATGATTTTCAGAAGGAAAAAAAGAAGCTTTCTCTATATACAGAATAAAGAAAAGTCGTTCTTTTTAGCACTAACTCTCAGTCTATGGAGAACTTATTTGTGTGGATGCCGAATGCAGTTCATCTTTCAGAGACCAAGCAGAATGTGCGTCATGTCAACAGTACCGAACACGGTACCGAGCGGGGGTGACGTGACACATTCTGGTTGTTCTATGTACGGCGTTCGGCGTCCACACATAATAATTTCCCCACTCTCTATGTGTCTGCTGCTCAGATTAGTAAGATTGATCTTAAAATATTCGAATGTGAAGCATCTCATCTATAACCACTACTATGAGCTTTCCAATACTATGAGATCAGATGTGTTGGAAACATATTAGAAAATTAACAATCATACACGCAAAACCCAACAGAGAAAATAAATATGTTGGTAGCTTTCTGAAGAACTCTAAACAAACCATCAGCCTCTTGAAATTCTAACTATTCAAGTTTTCTGTCATCATAAATCATAATAAAGTTTAAATTTAAATATGTAGAGTTCAATGATTGAAGCTTTGACCATGAAACAAAGAAACAAATCAAATCTACATTTTCATTCCAACAAAATATGGTCTTCTATTTGAAAGTGTTTATAGGAAATTATTCACATGAGCTCAATTTTGTTGAGCAAAAAAAGGTATTCGAAGAATAGAGTCGATAAAGAGAAAGAAGAAAAGGCATGAGCAAGCAAGTCAAGTCATGAAAGAACTTGTTAGCCAGGCTTCAGACTGGGAGTACGAGGAAGATGGAAAGATGCCAAACAAAGACCTGAAAGAAGATGAAAGCACAATCGATACAAATATGCCCCCAGATGAAGAGAGTTCAGCCATTACCAGCGAGAGTTCAAAAGGAATAATCTTGCACTCAAACAGCCTGAAAAAAGATGAAGACAAGAAGGCAGATGAACCAATAGGAGGTACTTAAAATCATCAATGGCTTATTTACATCATAGTATTATATCAAAAGTTTCCTAATGACTTTAAAAAAAACACTAGATACGCCAATTCTAATAGCAACAAGGAGGGGTGTGGTGGAGATGGTAAAGAACATCCTGGACACCTTTCCTGTAGCAGTTGAGGACTTCGATTCCAATCACAAGAACATAGTTCTTCTGTCAGTTGAACACAGACAGCCACAGGTTTACAAAGAAATGCTTGAAAGGAAGTCAATGAGGGAAAGTGTGTTTGCAATGGTAGACAAAGATGGCAACTCTGCTTTGCATCTTGCAGCGGGCTCCGTAGGAAAGAGTCGGCCATGGGTAATACCTGGAACTGCTCTTCAAATGCAGTGGGAGATCAAATGGTACAAGGTACTGATTCTAGTGACCGTTAATACAACAATTTTGAGCTGTAGCCACGATCTTAATGTGGAAAAAAAGAAATTTTGCTCGTATATTCTTTAGTTTTATGTGCAATGAAATGACTTTAACTGCGTTTTTTGAAGCTCATGCCTATTACCTGTGAGACTTTGTTTTAAGAAAATAAAACCCACATATAGGAGCTTACGCGTTAATATAAATAAGAGATTACAAGTCCTTACTGAATCGATAGCCCTCTAAAAATACATCATTTGAAATAAAACCTACAAGCCTTTGAATCAAACTATTACAAAGCATAAGCAGAAGAAACCAAAGAAAGACAAGCACAACTCCCACCATGAACAAAAACAAGAGCAACAAAGAAACCTAATCAGCTATCAGAGACTCTTGGAGGAAGAGCAGCACCATAGTTGGAGAGATAGAGAAATCCGCACGAGCAACTGAACAAAAGCCCCCAGCCAGGAGAATGTTACCAATAACAATCTCCCAAATCATCCATATACAGACATAGGAAAGGGTCCAACTAATACCAACCAAAGAAACAATCAATAGCATCCAACTAATACCACAACAAATATTCCACAAGATCAAAGAAAACACCTAAGACAAAAACCCATTAACAACAGAATTTCGAAGGAGTTTTAGATCTCTTAGGCATTCCTTCATAAACATTTAAAATCTTGCACCACCTCTTTATTTATCTTTTTTTCTGTTTTTCTTACCAACAACTTTTGCAAAATTCATCATTACTAACTTGCACTACATTCATATCATAGTCATCGTGGGAACCATAACAAACATCAACTTTAGCCTCCCAAGAATTTATAATAACCGACGGTTTGTATGTGATTAACCAGTCAGAGTAGTCAATAAGGTTCACATTAGAGTCCACATTAAAAGGCAAAACAACAGAATCATCTATACCATCAAAAGCATCATCAAAAGTAGCCTTATGGTCGGGGCCCTGTAAAAATAGAACAACTGCACCACCGAACTCACAATAGGAGAAGTAGCAGGATAATTAGTAAGACAATTAGCAGCACAAACAGTAGGAAATACTTCCATATTATGTGAGACTAAGGCTTCATCTGCCATGACTTTCATACTGTTTTTTAATTGTTCTAGTTTGTGAAGAACTCCATGGAGCCTAGCTTCTTCCAACATTACAACAATAAGGGGCAGACTGCAAAGGAGATATTCACTGCGTCCCATGAAAGCTTGGTCAAGGAAGGAGGAAAATGGCTGACCAACACCTCTCAATCTTGTTCTGTTGTCGCAGCACTTATTGCCACGGTCGCATTTGCCTCTGCAACTACAGTTCCTGGTGGTGTAGATCAGACCAGTGGGTTTCCAATCCTAGCGGGAAAACCAGCCTTCGCCGTATTTGCTATATCAGCATTAGTGGCGTTATGCTTCTCAGTAACCTCATTGATTATGTTCCTTTCTGTACTTACCTCTCGCTATCAAGAGATGGATTTTGAAAGAGACTTGCCTGTGAAGCTCATCCTGGGGCTCACCACTTTGTTCATGTCGATTGCAGCCATGTTGGTTGCCTTCTGTGCTGGTCATTTCTTTGTCATGGAAGATAGGCTCAAGTATGGAGCCTTTCCCATATATATTGCTACGTGCTTGCCTGTAACCTTCTTTGTTGCTTCACAGTTCCCCCTCTATGTAGACCTGGTGAGTGCTATCATTGCAGATGTGCCAGAACGTACATATAAGAGCCTCACATTGTAGCCTCAAGTGCTTCATAGGTGGTTTTTTCAGAGTTGTCTTCTAAGGATTGCAGAGATTGATAATCCAAAAACAAATTAAGCTACACTCTTTTCTTCCTTTTTTTGGCAGAAATATTGCGTATTTACAGTGAGTTTATGGCGTCTAAAAACCATTATATAGAATGAACAAAATTCTTATTTTGCAAGTAATGACTCTTCATCTTCTTCCATTTATGAATTGGGTGACTGATAAGTTGTGAGGCCTGATTTTTTTTTTTTTTTTTTTTTGAAAGAGATTCTCTCAGTATTTGTGTTGTTTTTCATGATACATTACATTTTAGTTTATTTTCAGGATTGTTCTGCATCAAATTGGTATCAACTCACCTTCACCCCTTGTTTCCGCTTAAGGGTGTAAACGAGTTGAGTGGAGTTTAGTGGCATTATCATATTGAGCTCGTTTAGCTTATATAGAACTCAAAATCGTGCTCGTTTAATGAGCTCGAGCTCGACTTGTAGTATAAAATTAAGCTCGAGCTCAGCTTGATTACTCGATCTTGTTTAAAAAACTCGAACTTGGCTGGTTTGAAAAGCTCCAACTCAACTTGTTTATGAATCTTGATTTTTTGTTATCGTAAGAAATTCTTAAGAAAATGGCATATTAAAAAAAATTAAAAATACATTTTAAAATTGAGTACCTCAATGAGCTAACAAGTTATAGACTAACTATGATAAGATTCCACTCAATTTAATTCTGAATTAATTTTAATGCTTTATTCATATCTTAACACAATCGACTGGATTTCAAATAAATTTTCTAGTTTCATATTACTGCCTTCGAAAAAATAAATAATAATAATAAATATTACATGCTACGAAGTAAATAACTTTTGTTTATTAGAGGATAAATATACTATTATTTATTAAAGACGTTGATATTGTGCAATATATTTTTAAATATTTGTAACTTAATAGTCCGACCTTTTAATTTATACAGATTCATATTGCTTTTCCATTAATTGTTGATCAAGCTTGTTTGGCATTCTTGTTATAAATTCATGAAATAAAATGTTAGTTATAGACTAACTATGAATAAAATAAATACAAAATTATCAAGATAACTTAGAAGTTATCTATGGATGATTAAATATAATACAAATGCAAGTGAATGTATCATTAAACAATTTGATTAATATTGCATAAGATCTTTTACATATTATTTATTCTTATTATCATCATTATTATTATTATTCGAAATCCTTGGCCATTTATACTTTAATCCTTATATTTCCCTACTTAATTTATTTTTACAAGCTCATATTATTTTTATTTATTAATTATACATTGTATGAATTTTACATGTGTTGTGTATAAATTAAAAAAATTTAGGTTTGAATTTTACATAAATTTATCTTAATCGACTTAAATATCCTAAATAAAAAATCTTATGGAAATAAGGCTGAGGCATTATATTAATCAACCAAGATTCAGAAAAAGAAATTTCACCTCATTAATAGGTTTTAGCCATAACATATATAAAATACTGCCTCCACTATCTTCAAAGGCTTAGCAATGGAGCCCTTCAGCAACGGTAAGTAGTGCTTCTGTTGCCTGAAGGAGGAAATGCTTGCCGCCGCCGCGGTTGGTTCCCCCTCTCCCTCTCTCTTCGCTCGCCATTATTTCTGCTTGACAGAAAACCTTCCTTTGCTCCTCTCGAAGCTGGACGAACTCCATCAATCATACCGCCACCACCATCATCTTCGCCTCCAATTTCTTCGCCAAATTGCATGGTTTTTCTTGCGGTTGAATAGTCGAACGGCAAGAGTTGCGAAGGCCGATCGTTCGCTTGCAAGCTGCTCCTTTCGTAGATGAATTGCGAGCACTGCTGAAATCCAGAGGACAGATCGGTGAGAGACATGGATGTTTCAGTCGCATCAGCGTCACCATTAGGGCTATCGACAGTTTTTGGGCTTTCGGCCGGCGAATCTGAACCATCCGTGCCGTTTTCCAATGGTATTACTTCTTCCATTGTGGGAGTTTTTGACCGTTGATCTGGACTTGGCACAGTTAGTGTAGGCACAACGTTCTTTGTGGGGCTCGTTTCAGGAATATTGTCTTCGCTGGGAAAGGAAAAGAATGGGAGGATCACAGAGGCTTTGATCTGCTCCACCTTGTTCTCATTCTTCTCCTAAAACAAAATGAAGTATGTTGAAGAAAACCAACTATCACAGAGGCCTTGATTTGTTCAGTTCAATTCAGTTTTGGATGAATTGAGATGTAATTATCTTTAACAACAAAACTAATTATTTTTTGTTTAAATGATAAACATTAAGAAGAAAACCAAATAATCATCGCTAATTATTTTTTGTTAACAAAAAAATCCAAGCTTAAAAACATTAAAATGAAAACCTTGATAAAGTTAAAGACCTTCAAAACTCTACATATTTAACATGGTTAAAAAATTCATAAGAGCTAAAGTTCCATCTGCTATAGTTGAAATGAACTCCAGGAATATAAATTAAAACATAGCTATAATACATTTTACATACCTGCTCAGAGTCATTCCCTTTCAAAGGCTTTGTTTTCCCCTTAGAAGAATTTCCAAACAAAGCTCCAAATGCACGTGCTGGCTTTTTCATTACCTGAACCGAAGCTGTTGGGGCGACCTGCAAAAAAATTGTCACCATCTTATCGTTATAAATACAAACTAAAAAATGGTCTCCAGAGCAAACAAAATGTATTTCCTTACATCTTTGGTTCGTTCGGAAGATGAAGAAGTTCCATTTTCTATCAATTCCCTCTTAACTGTTCCAACTGTATCACAATGGCCAGTTTCTAAAAACGACAACTCTGTTATTTGCTTCTCTTCTTGAAATCTGCCAACTGAAGCAATTTGATCAACGGAGTCTAAGTTCTCTGCTTTTGAAATGTGCATTGCTAACTGCATAATTGGATCCTCTCACTACTTCACTCTAATAAATAAAAATATAAAACCTCAGAGGATCAAAAGGTTTCACTTACAGCTTCAATGCGCTCCTTTCTGATCTCTTCAGCAATGCTCTCAAAAGCAGAGGAATTTGCAATTGCATTCTTAATGATACTCGAGACAGCATTCAGGTGGCGTTCAACATATTGGTGCTTTGATTTAACTAACCGACGTAAATTTCCAGCTGATTGAGGCATTTGTCTTGCTATCATCCACAAGCAAATTTGAAGTAAATTAAAGTACTACTGGAGAATTGGTAAGGTTGAGTTACATTAAAAGATGTTCAAGTACCAATCTCAAGGACAGCTTTGTTTGGCAATATATATCCAGTGCTTTCATCCTCTTCACGAGCAACCTTATCCCTCCATTCACATAAACCCTGTAAAAGGGTGAGTTAAAACTTAGAAATTTGTATAAATTTAAGATTTTGAGGAAAGCAAGGAAATTTTAGTTCACACTACTTAAATTTAAAACAGCGATTCAAGAATTCAAAGCCTACAAGAGTTTTACATAGAATGACATTGACTTGCCACTTTCAGGTCAAGTATCTATTACGTAAGAATACTTTATTAGATGGACAAATCATAAAACTTTGAAGAACAATTTCTCAGAGAAAAAAACTTATGATGAATGATATTTATTCATTTACTAGAGGGAAAATGTTGAAACACACAGCACCACCACCCCTTCAGATTCCGCATGGAACCGCCACTCGCCTCATCAGGCCACCCACCTCATCAGGCCACCTCACCAATCCAGACTGCAGCATCTACAACATCTACAACTGCCAATTCATCGATCCAGGAGACCTTGCTAGTTGTACAAAAAAACATTTGAATGGGATATCATTTCTTCTGTTAATTTCAACATTATGGCTTTCCTATTATAAATATTTTGTAGTTCCTTCTATCTAAGATTTGTAGACTCTATTTGCAAGCTTCTATAAAAATTGTCCTAGGATTGTATTAACTTTGTACACAACTAGAATAAAAATCACTCAACAAATTTCTCGATTCTTGTCAAAACCTTAAAAAAAAATTAAAATGAAGATTTTTTTTTTAATCTCTTATTTTATGCCTGTTTTTTATTAGTTTCTAGGGATGACATACTGTGATATTTATATTCTTTGATCCCACAGCTCAAATCCCTCTCAAACTGCTCTTAAACAGCTCCCAAGAAAATATTTAAAATCTTAGGAAATAGTGAATATCCAAAGGATGAATATTCAAGGAAAATAGCAATGTCTGCTTTATGATCAAATTTTCCTAAATAATTTTTTGAACTATTCAACACAATACCTCAACATCTAAATACAAGAAAATGAGTGACCTTATGCTTCTTTCTTCTAATACATTGTGTTAATGCTACGGTGTTTCCTAGAAGCGATGCATTGTATGATCTACATACAATGAGAAGTGTGCAAAAGCCCACTACAATGCACCGATGCTCAGGCACAATATTAAATAAGCAAGGGTTATGGATTGATGTGGGCAAAGAAGCTACTCCATGAAATTATAATTATGATAGGAACTTGGAACATAGGTTCTCTTATAGACAAATTAATTGAATTAATAGATATTATGATTCATAGGATAATAAATATTCTATGCATTCAGAAAACTAATGGGTTGAAGAGAAGGCGAAAGAGATTGATAGTTTATGATTTAAACTAGAGTCGTAAAAGAAATGGTATATGTGTGATTATAAGTAAGAGTTTGAAAGACAATATTGTAAAAATTAATAGAATTGGAGATAAGATTTAAAGATTGTTGTTGATGCGAAGATTCTTAATATTGTAAGTGTTTATACTTCTCAAATAGGGTTTAGATATGTGTTCAAAATTAAAATTTTATAATGACTTAAAATAATTAATACAAAAGATAAATTTTGAAGAAAGAGTTTTTATTGGAAGAGATTTAAATGGACATGTTGGTAGAGAGGTAAATGATTTTAAAGTATTCGTGGTGGTTATGGGTTTGGAGCGACTAATAAAGGTGGTAAGACCATATTAGATATATAAAGAGGTTAACCAAACATAGAGATAAGAGTAGTAAGGATTTAGTTCAAGTGAAGTGTATTAAGGATGAAGATAAAAAAGTGCTTCTATTAGAAGAGGATAAAGGTGGAAATATTTTTATAAACTCTTCAATGAAGATTGTGAGAATGCGATTGACTTTAGTGACTTTAGCACCCTAAATGAAAATAATTTTTTTTTGTTTTTATCGGCGTATTAGTAAAACCGAAGTTAGAAAGGCTTTAAAGAAAATGAAGTGTGGAAAGCTGTTGGACCTTATGATATTCCAATAAAGGTGTGGAAATGCTTAGGAGATGAAGGAATTTCTTGGCTTACTAAACTTTTTAATATTATTTTCGAGATTAAAAAGATGTCAGATGAGTGCAAAATGAGTGTGTTTATTCCTATTTTTAAGAATAAAGATGATGCACAAGATTGTGCAAATTATAGAATTAAATTAATGTGTCATACTTTAAAACTATAGGGGAGAGTCATGGAGCATAGGATACAGCGTGATATTAATATTTCTCAAAATCAATTTGGATTCATGTCGGGCAGGTCAACTATAGAATGTATACATTTATTGAGAGGTTTGATGGAGAAGTATAGAGAGAATAAGGAGGATCTACATATGATATTTATTGATTTAGAGAAGCCTATGTTGCACCGATACAGATACTATGACACGAATATGACACGATAAAGATACGGGACACGACAATTTTTAAAAATATAGGATACGGGTACGGCCCGGACAATATATTATAATAAATCATACATAAAAATTAAGAAAGCAATCAAAGCATAATATTTAAAATTACAAAAAAATGAAAGCAACATCATTTGTAGCCTTATAGCTTAAAATATCAAAATAAAAGTAAGTATTAAATGTCCAGTGCAACAACAAAAGCATAAACATAAATTGTCTAACACATGAAGTTTCAACTATTCAATAAAAGGAATGATATGATGAGCTTCTTCAGTGGTTTGTCTTTTCATCAAGTGAAAGATTAGCAATTTCTAATATTATAATATCATCAAGAGATTCAAATCCATCTAGGAAATGAGAGAACCTCACTCACAACCGCGGAAGTAAATACGACGCATTTTTTTTTTCAACAGACACGCATATCGGATACACGTGTCCTTTTGAAATTAAATAATATTTTAATTGGATACGGCTTTGTCATATCCGACACACATCGGTGCCGTATCGGAGGCGTATCAGTGTATCAGATACAACACGCCTTCATAAATAGGTGTATCGGTGCAACATAGGCTCCTGCATACATATCCTTAATGACTTGAATATAAGCATTATTAACCCATTTCTTTTCTAGAACTCTCCATAGCATATCTCTTGGAACTTTATCATATGTTTTCTCCTATATCAGATAAGACGGTTTGGTCATATAAAACGCCAGCCTTCTGGACACCCGACTAGAAAAGTAAATATATTAAATTTTGGCTATATCAAGAAAGGTAGAGGTAAACCTAAAAAGGCTTGGTTAGAATATATTAGAAATGTCTTTTTTTTTATTAGATTTAAATGAGAATTTGACTCTTAACATAATACAATGGAGGAAAAATGAATTTACGTAGCCAACCACACGTAATGGGATAAAGGCTTGATATTGTTATTGTTGTTGTAATTATTTCCATTATTTAACGCAAAGCCTTGACAATTCCAAATACATGAAAATGAGTGACCTTAAGTATCATTCTCAATAAACCTAAATAGAACCTTCATCTTGAGTTCATTTTGATGAAGCTTTGGGTCATTGGATCATGCATTAATAAACACATCGAAATCCATACAAATTCTCCATCCTGTAATACTTAATATAAGGTATCATCAATCAAATGTTTATGATCATCAAAACAAGCTCATCAAACTTAGATAAACAAAGAGTCATCCTTTTGTTGCTTCACCTGAATAAACACATAAATTGAGTTTGCTCATCTTAAATCATAAATCAGCTCTGCAAACTCATGGCACATAGATTCATCAGTACTTTCAATATATCATCCCCATAAATATTAATTACAACTAATGGTTCTTGGGACTGATTGTCAAACATCATTCCTAGTGATTTGATGCCCAAACGAATGTCAAAATATACAAACCCATTTAAAAATACACTAAACATCCATTTGAAAGAATGTGAAGTCCTTAAAGCTTGCAAATGCAAGGGCAATATAATAGCCTCTAGGCTTGCTATCAGTGCAAAAAAATCCTGAAAGTTTTGGCTTTCTATTTGACCATGTCCTTTATAACTAATCTAAAACTATTTCAAATAATACAACTAATCTTATTCCAAAATACTCATTTTGTTCCAACAGCAATATGATCAGAAGGACGTGGGATTAATTCTCAAATACTATCCTAGCGAGTTGATTGAATACACCTTGCATTGCAAGAATCCTAAGCTCATCCTTTAAGAGTCTCATCAGTATTATTAGATTTAATCTTCAAAGTTGAATAATATATCTTATTTCTAATACCTTGAAATATATCATCTATAATTAAATAATTTGGGATGGATTTTAGATACTTCCAATCCTTCAATTCAAATTCATTATCTTTCCTCTCATCAAATTGACCATCAACATTATCTTTCTAATTCTATCCACATCATCACTTGAACATCATTCTGAATTGATAAAAAAAAATTATTCATCAAAAGAATAAATTAGTCCTTCCACAACAATAGTTCAACTATTGAAAACTCGATAATTCTTACCATATGATGAATATCCAAGATAAATAGCACCATCCGACTTCTGTTCAAATTTTCCCAAATGATTATTTCCAGCATTCAACACAAAACATAGACATCCAACTTAGTTCTCATAACATAGTTGCATCATTAGCATGTATTACTAAAACTAAAACCACTATCAATAAAAAACACATAACTACTAAAATCAAATAAAATTCATCTACTAACAAGAGCAAATAAATTTTTTTTTTTTTTCAAATAGTTTGTCTTAACTTACACAGATTGCATTTTTTATTATCGTAGACTTAAATGTTTGTATCACAAAGTCATGTAATGCAAGTAGTGCAAGTTTGAAACCTCTATAGTCTAAAAAAGGAGGAGATGCTGCATCAAACTACCCTCCATAAATGCTATTTATGGACTTACGAGAATAAACACGAGCAAAATGAGAAAAAAAAAAAAAACAGCATCACATCTAGGGCATACTTGTTAAAGCAAAATAATTATTTTTTTTTAAATTGGGTTGCTTTAGCACCAATCAACTTAGAAAAATATATTGGATAATTTTACAGTATGCTGATACTGATAGTTATCTATACTGGAAAAAAAAAAAGAGAAACAAAACCCTTTCATAAAACTTGGATACATAGCAGATAGACCGTGATCTGTATTTATTTGGAATCGTTAAAGAGCTCCTACTAGAATAGGACCATTCTGATCTGTTAAACTTATTTCTTGTCCAATTCTCTTTACTATAGCTCCAATTTTATTAGAGTTTAAGGTCTAAAGTAACATGGAAGCCAAATTTAATTACTTCCCAATTTCTCTCTCTCTCTATCCCTCTCCTTATTTGGTATATCCTTTCTCCATCTCTCTCAAGCTCTACGTCTTTTGATAGACCTCATGCCGAGCATTTCACAAAGCTTTAAAAAAGGAAAAATTATCCAAAAAAGGATTTCATTTGTCAGAATAAAATACCAGCTCTGACACAAGAATTCCCACGTTAACAACAAGAATCTAGATTCAAGTTAGTGAAGTGTTTTTGGAAACATCATATGTACTTACGGCAACAATAGCAAGTTGCTTTGAATCAAAATCAGCTTCAGACAACCTGTCAGAAAAAGGACATATATTCAGTTACAAAAAAGAGGAATAGGCATACTGCATGAAAATTCATGTAAGTTTATCAAAACTGAATACTAAGCTGCTAACCCATATATATAGCGATACGAAGTATCTGTTAAAATTTCCTTCTCATATAGTTGCATACAAACTTCGGAGCTGCGCTTGTAAACCTGAAAGTAACAGAGCATAAAACTAACAATCCTAAAAAGAAAGAATTAACATAAGAAAATCATGAAACTTAATAATTTAATCATCTATTACTTCACATCATATCATAGATCTGCACCTCTAAAAGAAGATCATTTTCATCAGAAGATAATGAAAGCAACCTGCATCTCATTAAATCATAGATATGCAGTAGATAATGTGTATCTTCTCTGGCATACCTGTTAAAAAGATATAATTATAGTCAAGCACAAGTGATAGTCATTAAATATGCATTACAGCTCGCTAACACAAGCTACTGGTGAAACATTACTTGATCATTTCATCAGGTAAAGGCCTTAGTCTCCAATCTGCATTTTGATATCTGCAAAACCATAAGAAAAGTCTCAAAATAAAGATATCATCTTTTAATGAAGAAAACATCTCCTTTTATGTTTAATTTTTCATCACATTACGAAACAGCCAAAATTGTCATCAATCGCAAAAGTATGAACAGAAAAATAAAATTTATTTTTATAAGACAAAGGCACTACTCTTTATTAGCTTCAACACCACAAAAGTGGCGTAAAAGATACTCCAGACTATTTCTTTCCAACTGCAATAACCTTGAACCCTGCAACACAAAAAATTGGGAGTGATAAAGATGAGCGTGACAGTTTACCATTGTTGCACAACTATCACAAAAGAGCTGCACGAAATAACTTTAAGAAAATCGATTCAAGTACAATTATGGAAAATTGGCAAAACATCTGTTCAAAGGCATCTAACAAAAAATATAAAATAATCAAACCTGTTGAAATACAAAATAGAATCATTAAATAGAACAATTGACCATCAATCTCATTAAAAACCCCAAATGGCCGATAGCAATCAACAAGAAAACCAGTAATACTGGGCACCATGTATTATGGTACTGAAGTATCACCCAGCCAAATATTTATATCTTAGCAATTTCACATTGAACCTAAATTTTTCCCGGCTAGCTAGGCAAATATTTGAGAAAAACCCACTTCTCGAGAAAGAAATTCTGAAAAATAAAGGAGAGAATGCCTACTGATCATCATTGTTGCGGGCTAGAATATACGCGGCGATAGAGTTTTAATCGTTCGTCTTAGCGTTATACGGATATCCAGCTCACACACAGAGAAAACAAGATTTTTTACGTGGAAAACCCTTGAAATGGGAAAAACCACGGGACCTAGCCCAGTTGAAAAGATTTCACTAGAACTTGAGTTGGTTACAATGGGTTGACTCGTCTCTGAGGACGATTAGATTACAAGTAGCAATTGTACAATAGAAATCCGGGTGTCAAGAGATGATCTGATAGAGCTTCGGGCCTCAGAGGATGGTCTGACAGAAATCCGGGCCTTAGATGATGACCCGGCGAAGATGAGGGCCTCGGGTGGAGGTCTGACGAAGGTGAGGGCTTCTGACGGCGGTCTGACAAAAGTGATGGCCTTAAGTGGTGGTTCAGCAGAACAATGGCGTTAGACGGTGGTTCGGCGGAGCACAGGGCGTCAGGTGGTGGTTCGGCAGAGCAACGGTGTTAGGCTGTGGTCCGACAGAGCACAGGACGTCAAATGGTGGTCCGGTGGAGCAACGGCGTTAGGCGGTGGTTTGGCGGAGCACAGGGTGTCAAGAGGTGGTCCGGCGGAGCACAGGGCGTCAGATGGTGGTTCGGCGGAGCAACGGCGTTGGGCGGTGGTCCGGCGAAGCATAGAGCGTCAAGTGGTGGTCCGGCGGAGCGACAACGTTCGGACGTGGTCCGGCGGAGCACAGGGCGTCAGGTGGTGGTTCAGCAGAGCAACGGCGTTAGGCGGTGGTCCGGCGAACGTCCGACCTTCGTGGAGCAACGGTGGTTCGTCGGAACTCCGGCGATGGTCCGGCGAAACTCTGGCGGTGGTCGAGGAGTCTAGGAAGCAAGAGCGATCTCCGATCTCTCTCTTTTTTCCTTAGGCTCAGGGGTTCTTTTTCAAGAGGAGAGGGAGCTCTATTTATAGATTTTGGGAATGGCATGGCCCGTAAATAGATGGAGGATCAAGGGTAAGTTGGGAGTGGTTGGATGGACGGCCGATCTTGAATCCCTTGATCATGAACCGTTTGATGGACATTTGAATGTCTTAGTGATGTCGGAATTCAGTGATCTTGGGCTCGTTGGATTCGGCTCGTCAAGCCGCTCGATTCGAGTATAAGTTCGTTATGTTTGGAAATCGTTTGATAATCCAAATTGTGGTTTGAACCTTCCAACAGTGCTTCGGGTTCTTGATTTGGACCGATTTGGGTTCGGATTGGGTCGAATTTGGTGTCGTTGGATTTGTATTTCCGAGACGCTCAGTTTGATTGTAAGTTTGTTGAAATCGGAGATCGGATGCTCCTGATTTTAATTCCCGAAGTTTCTAACTTGATTTTGCTTTGAGATTCGTGCCCGATCAAGATTATTTTTGGACGATGTATCAATCATCTATACACCATTTCATGAAAAAGAAAAGTTAACCTTGTCATTATGCAAGACTATTTATGTTGAACAACTGATCTTTTAAAATTTCATAATACAAATCTAGAATGATATTATACATGGATTCAAGCACGCAAAGGCAAGATTGACGATTCAAAGACCACCAATCAAAACAAATGTCTTTAGATGCAAACCATAAAAAAGTAAAAAATCGCATAAACAACTATTTGATGATGGTCTAAGAGAAATTCAGGGTAGAAATTTAAGAATATAAAAAGTTATAATTTTAATCAAAACTTAAATGTAATCAGAAAGGCCAAAATGGAAATGTTGGACCAAATCTAATCATGCAAGCAAATAATCATTAAAATTACACTTAGCCACTTAAACTAAGAAGTCTAACTAAGACGGCATGTATATGCTAACTTATAATACAATTTTTCTTTGTTATCAAATTCTTGATGTGAGGGTTGTTACTTCTATATATAACTTACAAATTTATACATATAATGTTCATCAGGAAATATATGAGTTTAATGCCGATTGATAAGCTCAACCTTATGGATAAGCAGATATTCAAATATTATATTATATATTAAGATCCATAATAAGGAGGCTTCAAATTCTATTTTGATATAAAAAAACAGTTTATTTTTGGATAAGTTATGCAAGTTTTTTCAAAAATATTAACATAAGGTTGATTTTAAGATTGCCTACATTTTAAACTTTTAGGCAAGTTGATCATTCACAGTGTCATGAGATTCAATGACACTGACATTCTCATTGCATCAAAAAGGAACTTAAATATTCTTTTTCTTAATGAATTTTAGTTATTCTCTTAATGTTTAGGTGAGAGAGACATTTTGAATCAATTTTATATAGTCGAAGGACTATATTGGAGGAAGTTATACTCTGGAACTAAAATGACCATATATGAATAGAATGGGGACTATTTTGAAATTTAACCCTTTTTATTTATAATTATGTTATATTGTGCACCATATTTAACATGTCGCATGTCGCGTCGTGTGATAAGTGCTATGGCTCCAATGAGAACTTTGCGTCATGGTGCATCATTCTTCATTGACAAGTATGATTAAGAGACTTATGATTCTTCTTACGATATCAAAGGATAAAAAAAGTCCACTTAAGCCTTTATGAGATTATTCATGAATAGATTGCTTCAGTTAATGGAGAAGTAAATACTTAGTCTAATATATGCCAAATAAATCAATTTCCATATAAGTCTATAGTATCTTCTTTTCTCAGCACGGCTTCAATCATCATAGACCATCTTAACATTTAGATCCATAAGGGCTTCTATTGGTTTATATTCCAAAATCTCAATTTTTTTAAAGAGATTAAGAACTAATGTTATTAGGATACAAAATGGTCTCTCTTGATAGGACAATTTCCTCATCTAAGATATATCAAAGTTGTCCCTAGCCTTTAATCTCAAATTCTTTCACCAAAGAATTCTTCTAGTTAATTATTTCTCCATCACCGTTTATCATAAAGATAATATCATCAACATAAGCAATCAATATGGCAATCTTGCAACTTAACCTATGTTTTCATGAATACATTACAATCAATTTGGTATAAAGAGAATCCATGCATCTTATCCACCCTTGGTAATCACTCAAACCATGCATATGGTGATTTTAAGATAATATAAGGATTTTTTAAGCTTGCATACCTTGCAATGTTGGCTTTACTCTCAAGTTAGAACCAGAGAAAATAAAAGGAAAAAGAATACAAAGATGAACTAAAGGAGTTGTTTTGCTACCATGTAAAAATATGTGAAAGACTTTACTGACTCCATTCTTTAAAAGTTATACAAACAATCTATAAATAAAGGACATGGTCTATGATTTTCCCATGGAAAGCAATTAAATAATAGTAATAAGACGTTATAAATATTTGAATTTAAAATTTTATTGTATACACAAAGAAGGAAGAAGAAAATCCATAGAATGACAAGTGGATGAAGCAATTATGGAAGCTTTCTAGACAAGTGCAGGCAAAAGGAGAACGAGATCCACGAGCTCTAAGGTCCATGAACATCAACAGCTAATATTTTTTTTGATGTGGATTGTTGTGTCGGAACATAATTGGCTATTACTTATTCTGATGATGCATTAAAAATAAAAAAAAAGTATGAAAATAGGAGCCTTCTAACTTTTTTATAATATTCATATCGAGTTCAAAGTTTTAATTTTTTTTTTGTTTCTGCTTAATAATGCACATTAGCATCATTGAGCTGTAAATGTGGTCCTCAAATTAGGTACATATTACATAATTGGTTTCAAATTTAAAATATTAAGGTACATCTCTCAAAGCATACCTAATTTATGTTAAAAATTTAACGTCATTATATACGTTGAAAATCATTACCTGGAGTAGACATGAAATAATTATGATACAAACATGCTATATGTAAAAATGATACACAAGACAACGGCATTTTAATTAAAAAAAAAAACGGTTTTTTCAATTTGCGTCACGCACATTTGAAGCAAAATGACCCTTTGTTCAAAGCATTGTATCAAGCAATTTGAAAACATTGGTTGCAACATTTTAACAGCAGTGATGCCAAACTAACTACAATTTACTATACAAGTATATACAGAAACATCTCAAAAACCTTAAAAAAAGTGAATTGTCCAAAACTATGCCATGCAAGACACTGTATATTTACAGTTGTATGAACAATATATAACTAGAAACCACTACCTGCCCAGTGTCAAAAAGGTTACAGACATAAATGCCAAAGTCCCGTTGAAGCCACAATATATCACGATCTGCCCCATGCATAACCTGATTGTAAGAGAATTGTAGGTAAGAAACAACAGAAAAATCATAAAAGATATTCTGAGAATAACTAATTGCACCTTTCTCTTCAATGGGTCTTTAAAGACTTCCCTCAGATATGGGCCAATATGAACTCGCAATTTAAGCGTGTCTACTATGAAATCCTCTGTTCTAGTAGAAATTTGCATCAAACAAGTCAGTCCTAGAAATGAACGATACTGATTGTGCTCCAAATCAACCTGCATTTAAATTTAGATGAAAAAAGGTTAGATACTAAAATCATTCAAGAACTTCTTACTCTTTTTATTAGGGATATTACCTCTTTTCAAATAGTGCAAAATAGAACTTTGAAAAACAAATAAATGAAAGGTAAGAAGCTCAAGTCTAAAGGCAGTGATAAAATAGTATATTGAATTTAGTTAAAAAAAATAGTTTTCATGACTCGTTAAAATCCCAGACAAAACCAATAAATAAGATGACCATGCCAACCCCAATTACTTGAGCATTCAAAGAATTAATTAATAACCACCCTTGGACAATTAAAGCAACAGTTCAATCTTCACTCAACACGTGCATTGCTCCAAGAATTGCAGTAGGAATGTTGCTGATATTTCTCAAGGCATCTGGACAGTAACAAGTTACCCTATAAGAGTCAACAAATAGACAAGATTTACACTAGAAAACCTAAATTTCTATATAGGTCTGCTTTGAAAAATATTTGAATGGTAGCAACAAAAACTTTGGATCAAATAGTACCCCATAATGGAAAATTTTTCACTATTTTATGTGCGCTTTCATCCATTAAGCAAATCAGGAAGTGGAATAACTATTAGATTAATCTTAAAAGGAACACAAACTTCAAACCTCACATACGCTAGGTCAATAGAACATGTGAGAAAAGTATGGTTTATGATCCTAGAAGGTAATAATACATGAAATGGATGAAATAGAGGCTTACCGCAAATTCATCAACTTCGTGCAATTTAGCAGCCAGTTCCTTCAACTCCCTCAGTCCCTCTACAAGTTTAAATGGAGTGCTTTCTAGAGAAAGTGGCTTTGTTATTTCATCTTCAATGATATCTCTATCAATGAAGTCAAGCACAGAGAGCTTCTCCTGTTAGCAAGGGTTGTTAATAAAAGAAAACAAAAGTGTAAAAGACATCGATACTAAAGCAAGAATTCAGAGGCAAGCCTTACCAATGGATGCACAAACCGGCTATTGTCCTCGCTCATCTCCAGCCAAACATGCTCGAAGGGCGTATTCCTGTTGTTCACCAGTATGTTAAACTCCGTCTGCGGCTTGGGAATGTTCGGCAAGTGAAACGGCACTTTGGCCCGCGCAGCCGTTGCCTTCTTATCCCTTGAAACCATCTTGATCCCAGAAGAAGCCGAGAAGCCCTCATCTCTTTCCTGCTTCTGCACGATCCCCCTTTTTTTCTTCTTCCCACAAACCAACTGAAATCCATCTCCCGAATCCGCCGCCTCACCGTTCCGTTCCTGCTTCTCTCTAAAACTCCTGAAATCATCCATAGAAACCCCAAACTTCTCAAGAAGGTCGTCGTTCAGGTTTACAAGCCATTCGTAAGCTTCGTCAAGTTCGTTGGGAGGAGGCGGCGGTTTCCTACTCCCCCATAAATAAATCGAAGAAGCAATACCGCCAAGAGAAGACTCAGCTTTGGAAGCGATCTCCCTCGCGGGAAGTTTAAATTCGTCGAAATTATTGTAGAAGTGAAAATCCTTTCCGTAAGGAATTCCCCGGGAACAACTGAGCAGTGTGGACACCGAGGAAGCCAAGGGGCCGGAAATCAGAGATTCGAGAGCTTCCGCCTTCTTCTCGACTGACTCTGATGGCGGTAACTCCATTTCCATTGAGATTGGATTAATGTATGGAGCTTTATTGGAAGACGTTGTGATCACACAAGATCGAGAAGGAGGGATTTTAGGGTTTTCGATTCTGATTTTGATGGGTCGCCAAAATTATGAACTGATCGAGCATGGTGGGGTCCTGTTTTGTTGTGAGTCTCTGTAATTAAAGGAGGATTTAATAACTTTGAAACGATTGGCGGTCAAAGGACAAAGGTTAAGGTCGAGTTTAAAGGCACACGAAGGGTATGTGCAGGGTGAAATTCATGTGTCCAGTTTGAATGAAATTTAGAATTGATCCGGTATCATTCAGGTCTATTCGAATCCGAATCATTTTTGCAAATGAATGAGTTTTTTGGACCTAAACTCGACCATCTTTGGATTTGGGTCAACCCGACTTGACTCGCAGACACGATAACGCGAGGCAACGGCATGTCGATGCCAACGGTAGAAGCAGCAGTAGCTTCGTCGCTCGGGATAGCAAGAATGCGAAGCTGAAGCGGCACGGCGAGGACATGGCAGCGGGGAAGCAGCAGCGGCGGGTTGGCACTTAGCATCACGCATGCCTATAGGTGGCAGCGTTCAGGCTAGGTCAGTGCAACAGCCTGGCGAGCCAACCTCGGGACGCGACGCGGAGTCGTCTCGAGACATGACGCGGTCATCCGCGATCACGACGGCCAGGCTCGATCAACGAGAGCACCACGGGTCATTCTCGGGTTTCAGGTCAACCCGAACCCTACCCGATTTTTAAAACGGGCTGAAAATCCTACCCCATTACATCTCAATTATCCTTAAAACGGAGGTGGGAGAGATATAGAAGCGCACAAGTGAAGACTGTGGAGTGGGTGCACGCAAGTAGGGATGCAAGCGAGCCAAAATGTTCGATGAGCTACTCGTTGCTCGGGTCTATTAAAGCTCATTTGCGATCATTTAGCTAACTAAACAAATAAACTTGAACAACATTTTTAATACTTGATATTTAAATAAACAAGCTTGAACATTGATGTGTTTGGTTCATTTATATTCACGAACAACATCATTTGAAGCTCGTGAACATGCTGCACATTAAGCTCGATTCGTGTTCGATTCAGAACTCGTGAATAAGCTCGATAAAAACTAGATCAATATTTCATTATAAAATTGATAAATATACATAATATAAATATTTTAGTTTATTATAACATAATGATATAATTATTTTTTATTGATAAATTCTAAAGTAATTGAATATTATAATATATGTTTTAGTTTTAATTTCCTTACAATTTCTAGTTTATCATATTACATAGTTAGTCTTGCTCATTTGATAGCTCAATAATACTCGTTAGTGTTCATGACCATGTTTGTTTGATAGTTTAAATAAATTCGCTAAATATGTTCACGAACAGAGCTCGTTAAGGCTTGTTTGTTTAAAGCTTGATAAGCACTAAACGAACCGAACATGAACACCATTTATTTAAACGAACCAAACATGAACACAAACAATAAAGCTCGAATCAAACACTAACCGAACTAGATCGAACAATCTAATAATAAACGAACTCAAATATGAACACTCACATACTTGACTCGGTTCGGTTTGGTTCGTTTGCAGCCCTACATGCAAGCGAGCCATGATTACCACATGTGTGATGATGTGTAAATAAGAAGTTTAAAATAATAAATGCATAAATATGATATAATTAAGTGTTATATATGTAAATCCCCTAAATTATAATATATATTTATATATAGTAAGATTTTTCAAATAGTAAAAATTAAATTTATGCTCCCCTTAAAAAAATTTGGTTATACCAAAAACAACATATTTTATAATTTATAAATTCATATTTGATAAATTTTGACAAAAATTAAAAATTAAAATTTATCTGACAAGATAATAATTATTAAAATTTATTAAAATTAAAAAACAAACTATTTGATTGTTTACTTGAGTACTTAAAATTAGGAGAAATTGTGAAATACATTAACTATGTAAATGATGGATTTAATAAAATTTGAATAAAAAAAATAACAAGATCTAAAATTCTTTTTTAGTTAGCTAAAGATATTATCAACATAATTAATTTAAGATATAAATTTTCAGATTGACCAAAGAAAAGTGTTGACTTTGATTGCTTTTATTCAAATATCTTTTCATCTTATTTAAGAGACTAAGCACATGTGCTATATTTAAAAAGTCAATTCATGTTTCTTTGAGTGCATCCTTTAGTTTTATTACTTGCCTTAGAATTAACTTTATTTTGTTATTGGACAAATTTTATAAAATGATATTATAATGCATGTAATTAGCCCAATCGAGCTCACTACGCGAAAAGTTTAAAGTGGGCATGGTCGCTGGCGCTGTCAGCAAGATGTCTCTGAAGTGGACCCAGTCAATGACTAGCCCAACGATTGATTAAAAAAATAAAAAATAAATAAAAAAAATGAGTCACAGACGAATAGAGAAAGATTAAGGCTTCGTTTGGGACAGCTTTTTTGTTGCTTTTTAAAGTAACTTTCTAGTACAAAAATTTTTTAAAGCTATTTTAGAAAGCATCCAGAAAGTTGTCTCAAACGAAGCCTAAATGAATGTATTGGCAACAGTTTCTTCCCTGCATCTCATTTCTTTGAAATTTTTCCTATTGCAACTCCCTCTCATCTCGCCTCCCCCTAGAGCTGCTGAAGTTACGAGTCCTTAGAGCACTTAAATATGAACCGTTAAGCACCACAGCAAATTTGATATTTTGTTATCTCGTTGGAAATAAATTTGTTGCAACAAATATTGATGATGATGAAGTGTGTGAAGTTGTATTGGATCATGTATATAGAAAAGCACTTATTTTGTATGTTGAAGTTCAAATGCTGGACACTGAGATGAGGGTTGTTGAAAATATAAACATTCGTATATAACTTACTTAATATCCCTAAAGGTTGCCTAGTAAATCATACTGATATTTCAGATGTCAATGAGCATATGCATTAAGTGTCCCAACAATTTTTTTTTTTAATTTATCCTATTAAACATGTTTTATACGTCGTAATTATAATGTTGAGTGATCGTATGCTCGGTAGATTCATGAGAGATGAAGTTGATCTAAATATTTCAACACTGTCAACACAATCATTCTGTCATAACATTGATGAAGAGGAAGGTGTAGGGGGTCATATGCCGACAGTTGTTGAAGGCTATGAGATAATGAGTAGCGATTCTGACAATGAGCTTGATGATAATATAGAATATTCATCTGATGAAGGTTTGCCTGACACATTTGATCATGGTGCCATGCAAAGTATGATTATAGATAATTGTCTTAAGGTTTGTAAATGCAAAAGAACAGATGGTTTGTAATAATAACTTTGCTCGCATATGTCTTTTTACTCAAGAGTGGGATGTAGAGCTTGACTTTTATGATGCTAGAAGGAATAATAGAACATAAGAAGAATTGCATATTCCACAAAAGTTAGTGAAAGGGATGTGCTTCACAACTAAGAAAAACCTATAGTTTGCATTATGTGGCTAGTCAATATTGAACAATGTTGAATATGTAATGTTAGTTTCAAATAACTAGAAGTTGACATACCCTCATAGACTGTGTTTATGGCGTTTGCATGCATGTTCAAACAAGCTTCTAGGAGGGTCATGGAATATTTTCAAATTAGAGAATGATCATACATTTAGTACTCCAATTCTATCAGCGAGTCATAGACAATGCATTTCTATATTTATCAGTTCCTTCATTGTACCAACTATTAGACAACAAATGGACTTAAAACCTAGAAAAATTATTTGTTATATCGAAGCTAAATTCAACATTAAGGTTTCTTACATGAAGACATGGGATGCTAGGAGGAAGACCATTGAAGTTGTATTTGAAAGTTGGGAGGACTCTTATAGGACATTGAATTTGTTTATGAATGTTGTTTCCTCCATTATACCAGGTATAGTGTACCGAATTTAGTCTAACAACACACATTAATTTTAGAGAATATTTTGGGCTTTTGGACCCTCAATTGTTGGTTTGAGGTACTATAGACCAGTTATAAGCCTTGATGGAACATTTATGCTTGATAAATGTAGGGGAACTCTACTCACTGCAATCAGTATGGATGCAAACAATGGACTATTCCCCTTGATTTTTGTAATTGTTGAGTCTGAATGTAATGAGCCATGGTTATGATTCCTTATTTGTCTTCACAACACTTTACTGATTATTAAGAGTAGAGAAGATCTTTGCATCATTTCAAACAAACATGCTGGTTTAGTTAGTGGATGTCGAGAAGTTTTCCTAAATATGGCTCATCGACACTGCCTCCGACATTTCCAAGAGAACTTTAAGAAAGCAATATAGAAAATGAGCAGTGCAGATGTTGAATTCTTATACCAGTAGATGTACCTAGTTGGTAGTACTAATGATCTAGGTGCATTCAATAGAACAATGTTTGATTTATAAAATATTAAACAAGAAATATATCAATGGTTGGTAGACTATGATGTGACATGTTGGACACTAACACATGAAAATGGGCTTATGTATGGAGTGATGACTACAAATGCTTCAGAATCTTTTAATTGTGTTCTAAAAGGAGCTCATGGATTGCCTATTCAAGCCTTGATTACTACAATATATTACAACTTCGTTAGTATCTTCATGCGTTAGTTAGAATGTTCACAAATGACTAGTTTGGAGAGCAACAGTCTCTTTGCACAACGAACTAAGTAGTCATTGCACAAGATCAAACTAGAAGCTAGGATAATAGCTATTATTTGAGCTTGATGTTAACATCTAAATAAAATATAAGAAAAAGACAAACGTAACATAACTTTGAGATATATTGAACAACCTACATAAGACAACAAGACATACATAATAAATTGAAAATTACAGGCTGGAACCCTAGTCTATCCAGTCTTGAGCTGATCAGAATTGCAAGTGAACGGTGGACTTAATTCTTAAAATATTAGTACACATAGCACAAAATAAAATATCACAGAAATAAGATAAAGTAGTAACAAATACAATAATATTTGTTATCATCAAAATCATAGTGCTTAAATTACATTTGCAATAAATACAAGTTCTCAACTCAACTCAGATTTTTTAAATAATGCCTATCACAAGTATTTCAGCATCCAATGACATCAATAATGACTAAAAATATTCTAAT